AACCAGGAAGCGGTCTGGGGAGATTGGGGGTGAGGGAGGTGAGGAGAACCAGCAAGGAGAGGGAGCAGGACCAGCCAGAGGGTCGGGAGAAAAGCAGATGGCACCAGGAGAGTGACGGAGAGTCAAGTGAAAGAAGCATTCAGAGGAAGAAGCAAGTCAAAGACACCATGGCTTCCATGTGGGTTCTTTCAGTAGCCTCCCGGGCAGTCTCCCTGCTCTTCCCCTCGCCCCAGTTCTCTGCACCCCTGTTGTCTGCACAGCATCCAGAGTGTGCTTGTTAACAAGGAATCTGAGCACTTCTCTATGCAAACCCTTCCAACGCAGTCACATCTCACCTTGAGAAAACAGAAGCCCAATCCTTCCAATAGCTGCAAGGTTCTATGTGACGTCTCCTCGCCCTGCACCCCCCTCCCCATCCCCACCTCCCTCCCCTCCTTCTCTCTCCTGTGCTCCCCCGACCCACCCCCACTGGCTTCCTGGCTGCTGTCACTCCGGGACTGTGCACATCTGATTCCTCTCCCTGGAATGCTCTCCCACCAGATACCTGCATGGCTCCCGCCTTGCTTCCGTCACGCCTTTACTAAACGTTCCTTTCTCAGCAAGACCTTCCCTGGCCTCCCCACCTAACATTCCATCTCCAGGAGCCCTGCAGTTTCTATTCCTTTGCTCTGTGTTATTCTTTCTCCTTAGTATTATAACACTCAAAATACTTCACCTTTTTTCTTGTTTAATATTATCGCCCATCTGTAGGGACCTTTGGGTCCACAGGAGCTGTGCTTCCAGCCTTGAGAACAGGGCCCAACACAAAGCGTGCTCAATACATATTTGATAAATGGAAGAAGGAACTGCTGCAGATTTATGATTAGTTCATTGCCTAAATATGTGAGCCGTACCCAGAATCTTAGAAAGTTTTGTTTTTTTTCTTAAGTGCCAGAAATTTTAACTGATAAAGAGAGGTCAGACCCACACCTACAGCAGATGCTTATGTAAGGCTGGAGCCCCTGGGTGGGGGTGTGTGCCAACATTTAATGTGCTCGGCTGCTAACTGAGAAGTTGGAGGTTTGAGTCCACCCAGAGGCACCTCCAAAGAAAGACCTGGCAATCTACTTCCAAAACATCAGTCATTGAAAACCCTATGGATGGCATCCCTGGATGGCACATATGGTTAAGTGCTTGACTACTACCCAAAGGTTGGCAGTTCAAACCCACCCAGAGGCACCTCGAAAAACAGGCCTGGCAATCTGCTTCTGAAAGGTCACAGCCTTGAAAACCTATGGAGCAGTTCTACTCTGCACACACGAGGTCACCATGGTTTGGGGTTGACAACAGCAACGTTGTACAAAGCTCGTCTAGAGCATGAGTTCAACCCTATGGACACAGTTCTGCTCCGCATACACGGGGCCGCTGTGAGTCAGAGTCCACGGATGGCAACTACTCACACGTGATTTAGCTTCGTCTGCTCATTCCGTTGGCCAGAGCCCAGGAGAGGGTCAGGGACATCTCAAACTCTGCCAGCAGGAGGCTTGGAGACTTGGGAGTGTGCATGCCCACCACAGGAAGAGGGACTGAAGGGCAAGCCCAGGATCTCGTGTGATACCAGCACCGTTTATTAGAAACGTTTGAGTTACTGAAGACTTTAGGTCCCTCTGAATATACTGGTATGCCTGAGTATTATGGTCGTATTAATAACCAAGAAGATAGCATGCGATTTCCCCAGAAGCAAATATGTTACAATTTGGTAAAAGTGGCAATTCAGCCAAAAATAAACGTGGGAGATTTGGATATAGTATTAGTTGGTTTTGCAACCTTTTGATTGTCCTTGCAGAATTTTTTGAAGCTGGTTGCTACCTTTTATTTATTTATTAGCAGTTGTTTTTTCCTGCCCTGTGTAGTTTGAAATAGTGACGAATCCGAGAAACCTAGATATCCAGGAGGGAATTAGCTGGAACATTCCAAATAATCCAGTCTCTTTCCAGTTGCTTTTATTTTGTTACCTGTGTTTTTGCTCACTACTCAACAATGCATTTTTTATTCCCAAAATACCATAAATCAAATAAAGAACATAAATAATGGGTGACCCTTTATTCTCAGAAATAATCAGACCTAGATCCATATATTTCATACACACACACACACACACACACACAGTTATTTTTCCCTATAAGAGCAGATCATTGTATATAGATACACTTTCTAAACTAACCACATTTAAGCAGATTTTGCATTTGAATTACTGCTACTGAGACATACTATTGGAAAATTGGTTTCATCTAAAGTTTTGGTATTACAAATCACGCAAAAGAGAAATAATTATCTGAAAAGAATGGAGCCACGGTACAACCAAAAAAGGAAATATTTCTGAGGAATTCGGAAAAATAATTCATAAAAGATGACAACATAGCCTTGTGATTCCCCAAGATGACCATCACACAGAAACCTAGCAGTTAGGAAATACTCATTTCTGACCAGATTGTCCAGCTAGCTACGTTTCTTTCAAGCATGTTGCTCTGCGGCCAGGTTGCCTTTGGCCTAATCGCCTGGAAGCAATCCATATCATCCGACACCAGACGATGTAAGCCTTCCAGCTGTCCTGGACCTTATGGAGGGCTGGTGAAGAACACAGCTTCTCTCCCTCTCTTTCCTGGTCTCACGCTAAAGTATTTTTATTGACATAGCATTCCTGCATATTTCTTTTGATAATTTGCATTCTGTTCCATTAAAGTTAATTCAATAACAATTATTATTTTTCTGCCCTTCATGTGTTTTACATGGTGTTTTTCCCTATCAAGTCCTGCATGAAATATTTCACAAAGTGGTATTAATGAAATGTATATTCTTTTCATCTATATAGCAAGTTTTCGTATTTTTTTTCACTTGAGGAACGTCAGCATGTTCTTACTGTAACTTACCTTTAATATACAGCTATCTCTGGGTCGCTGTAAGTTGAAAACCAACTTGATAGAACCTAAGAACATCTCTAATTTCCAGAGAGATTTATATTTACCAAAAGACAAACAAACAAACAAAAAACTTGGCATAGAATAGATGACCACTCTGCTGTTCTGCAAAATAAACCACTGCCAGAAAGCCTGTCGGTTCTGTGAAGTAGCATTTCCTGCAGAGCAAAGTAGAGAGGGGTCGCCATTATCCAGACAGGTAGATCTTTAAAAATCTGCAATTGAAGAAAACTTGTGGTTTAGGTGCTTTTTTTTTTTTTTTTAATATTTTGCAATTTACTTAATCTGTGTTTTGACTTTCCACACTGTGTTTCCTTTTCCTCTTCATTCAGTATGTCTTTGTTCCTTTTCACGGAGTAGATAGAAATCAGCAATTAATCAAGGAAGTTAGGGTGCAGAGTGCTGTCCCCCATGAATTTGTTCAGGAGCTATGTGTTGAGTGTCCCCTCTTCTAGACACTGGCAAAATGACAGTAAATAAAACAGACAAATTTCTTGTCCTTCTAGAGCTTACACTTTAGTCTGGGAACAAGAAAAAAACAAGGTAAGGGAGAAAAATCGCAGTGTACTAGCTGATGAGGGTTAAGGATGCATAAAGGGGGTAGGGGCGGGGGGCTGGGAGTTTAGATGAGGGAGGGGCTGAGGAAGGGCCTCTGCCCACTGTGACATCCTAGTCTAGACTGGAAGGGGTGCAGGAGGGAGCCGGGAAGATGTTGGAGGGGGAAGCGTAACCCAGAGAGGAAGCAGATGTGTGAGGGGCAGGGCAGGGCTGCGAGGCTCTGAGCAGGAGGGGTGCCCCAGCCTGTTCTAGGGGCGTGAGGGTCCGGGCTGGGCAGGTCTGAGCAGGGCGTTAGTGAGAGGAGAGCAGAGAGCAGAGGGGAACGCAGAGCACACAGAGCCCTGAGCGTCAGCCTAGGCTCTTGCTCCTATAATGGGTTAGGGCAGGAAGGATGTGGTTGCTGTGTGGACATGGATGAAGCGTGGGAAGGGACTGAAGCCAGCAGAGGCGTTAGGAAGCCTGTGCAGAGTCCAGGCGGGCGGAAGAGCTGGGTGAGGTCTGGACTAGGGGCCAGCAGTGAGGTGGGGAACATCTGCGTTCTGGAAATGTTCTGAAGGCGGTAGTTGTTATCACTGCCGTGGCGTCAACTCGTGGCGACTCCACGCGTGTTGGAGTAGAAGTGCACTGCACAGGATGCTCATGGTTGCACGATGAGGCGCCTCTGAGTGGGTTCAACCACCTCTGGGCTCGCTGTCAAGAGCTTACACCGTGAGCATCCCCCACAGAGCCCAGAGAGCTTGCTGAGGGGTCCGACGTGGGGGCAGGAGGAGAGAGGAGCGGGGAGGACGCTAACAGCTGTTTCTGAGCAGCTCAAGGATGGGGCAACCGCGTCCTGGGAAAGGACAGCTCTGGAGGGAGATAAGGAGTTCGGTGTGATCCTGTGAAATGTGAAATGCCTGTAAAAAGCCACATGGAGATAAAGAAGTTGGATCTCAGCATGGGGAGCTGGAGAGAAGCCCAAGCTGGAGAGAGATCGTGGGGTGTTGTCTGTATAAAGATGTTGTAACAAAACACAAGGGGAGCTGCGACCTCCGGCCCCGGCCACGGGGAGCAGACAGGGAAGGCAGAGGGCTGAGTCTCCAGGGGAGGAGAGGAGACAGCTGGAAGGGGCGGAAGACAGGGGAGAGCAGAAGTGGGCCGAGAAGCTGGACAGGAGGGGGGCACCGCAGCCGTGGTGGACCGGGAGTGTGCTGAAGGAGGACTGTGGGTCGTAGGAAAGTGGGGCCACAAGTGCCTGGTTAAGAGGAGTGTCGGAAAGGGGGCAGGCAGAAGCTGGATATGGACGGCAAGGGGAGACGGTGACCACAGCGACCACCAGCATCCCCTGTCTGAGCCTCATGTAGCCGTTCCTCCAGCCCTGGGTGGCCACCCACAGGATCGCCTCAGCATCTCTCCCTCTAGCTCCAACCTTACTTGGAGATTCAGGGACAATTGAGTTGAGCCAAATATACTAATTTCTCATGAGTTTAATGTAAAGTCAAAAGAGTTCAAAGATGTGGTGGATAGCTTAGGACTTCATTCCCAGACGCCCCCGGGGAGGAGCTCAGGCTCCTGTGGGGTCGGGGGAAGTCCAAGAGGACTTGTGGGAACGCTTTCCACACTCAGTGGGCGTACTCGGGATTTTCGTTAGGATGAAGTGTCCTTCCCCAGCAGGGCAGAGCGTGTGCAGTGACAGTCTTTCCCCCGCGATTGCTGTGACCACTGTTGACGTCTGTGCTCGATGGTTACGTGTTTCTCTCGTGTAAACGGGTTTACCAGTTGACGACACTATCGAGTGATGCGGACCCTTCCCTGAAATTACGCTGAACTTTTCACTCAATGAACAGTACTTGGTTTTTATTAATGAGAAACTAATTTGCTCTGTAAACCTTCATCTAAAGCACTTTTTTTGAAAAAAAAAAAAAAAAAGAGTACTTGGTTTTTAATAATACCTTTTATTTTCTCTCTCTCTCTCTGCCAGCTCTTAGAGGAAATACTGAAAGCAGTGCTAATCGACAGGTCAGTGTCCATTTTAGCCTTAATAATTTGCTGGTTTAATCACAGGCAAAGAGGATTCAGGCGGATGTGGATTTGGAGCGTGTGTGCGCGTGAAGCGTTCCAAGAAGAGAAGCGATGCAGAGCGGCGGCGCCTCATGCACGCACCACAGTGGGGCCCAGAACGGGCTGGGGAGAGGCCATCCGAGGCAGTGGTGCGTTGGCTTTTCAGGGTGCTAGGTACACATGTTGCCTTCGTGTGTGTTTTCACTATTTGGAATTTCAGTTACTTTATTACTTTAGAAAGATGTCTGAGTCCCCTCGTTTTTGTGGACATGTAAATGATTCCGCACATTTTGTTAAGGAGCTTGCAGGAACAAGAGGCACTCCAGGTACACACTGAACATTCTCTTTTCATCTGGAGATCCTAAGGAGACAAGTGCTGGGCTCCAAAGGCATTTCCCATTTCCTGCTGTGACTGTTCATAAACACGTACTTGGGTTTTGGAGTCTATACCTCACCATACCCAGTTAAAGGATATAGTTGTGGTACCTCTCCATCATTCCACGCCACAACCTGTCACAAGTCTGGAGGATTTGCCAGCAGAGAAACACGAGCTCTTCACTCCTCCTTCCCTGGAAGCCAGGGCCAAATCCTCCACCCTCTCTGCAGCTCGTCAATTTGTTATTCACTCGATGTCTCCCGTGTTTGCTGTTGGGTCGACCTTTTCGAAGGCGAGCCCCGTGTTTGCTGTGGTTTGAAGTGAGACCTCCACCACACACCTCGTGTCTTTGAAAACCTGTGCATTAGGAGAGGTGCGTGAGAAGGTTTTCTTTGCTTAGCTCGTGTTTATGCTTTTGACTGTTTAAATCCCACCGCCAGTCACTTGCTGTTTAAAACAGGGCTGGTCTGAAAGCAATTAGCCCAGCTGAACGCCAAAGACTGTCAAAGGGTGGTTTTAATCAGATAGAGGCAGTTACGAGGTGCACGTGTCACGCTCAATCTTAATTAAACGCAGTTCAAAACACAGGTCCCTTTTTCAGTGTCTCGAGCTCTTTCTACCACCTCCGTGGATATGCTGACTTCCACCCCCTGACTGAGATGGCTGTTACGCAAAATGAGCTCCTGGAGTTAAACCCTAACGTGTAAGCCAGCTGTGGGCTGCATAGGATGTAATATTCGAAGGCCATGAACACTTACCCAAAGGAGAAAGGGTACCAACCACCCAAATCTTTCCCTCCGGCTTCTCGGCCCACCTCCGCTCTCCCCTCTGAATAACCACAAACGAGGGAGTGAACGAAGGGCGGGCAGGACACGTGGCGAAAACACGTGTTTCAGCGAATAGTTAATCAAAACCTGAGCTGTCCTTCTAGCCTCGCCTCCACTTTCTTCTCCGTTTCCATCCTGGCTCCGAAGTGATCAGATCAAGCTGCTCTGACGTAGGTTAAAGTGTTAGTCACACGTTTTTCTCCAACAATTGGGACCAACTGTTAAAAAAAGAAAACCAGACCAGTTGCCATCAAGTCAGCTCCTGCTCATGGCGACCTCGTGTGTGTCAGATCAGAACTGTGCTCCATGGGCTTCTCAGTGACTATCTTTCAGAAGTAGATCGCTAGGCCTTTCTTCAAGGCATCTCTGGGTGGACTAGAACCTCCAACTTTTTGGTTAGTAGCTGAGCACGTTAAGCATTTGCATCAACCAGGGATTCCAAGCCTTTCATAAATCAAAACCAAACCCACTGCCATCGAGTTGACTCTGACTCCTAGCGACCCCACGTGTGTCAGAGTAGAACTGTGCTCCGAGGGGCTTTCGATGGATGGTGTTTCAGGAGTAGGTCACCAGGCCTTTCTTCTCAGGCACCTCTGGGTGGACTCGAACCTCCAGCCTTTCAGTTAGCAGCTGAAGGCGTTCACTGTTTGCACCACCAGGGACTGCAGCCTTAGCAGCTGGTACAACACTTTGGGGAATTATCTTTATCCATTTTTAATTAAAATAAAACCTCTCATTAGACTAACGTAGGAAATGCATTCTTCCCTCTTCTCAATACCCAGTCGTACTTTTATCAAAAAGAGTAAAAGACAACTCCCACAGCCCCTGAGTTTCCACGTTAAGTTGTTATCAATAATAAAATGGAAGCATGAATCAATTTATATTTGCAGGATTTGGCACACTTGGGAAAAATAAGTCTAGGAGATTATAAATTATGATTGTATATTATTTTTCCTTTTTCTTCTAAATTTGAATGAAAAGCCTGCTGCATTCTAAGAATAACAATGTAGAAAACACATTTTTAATGTTGTATTTCTTCTTAGAGATAAAGTTGTAAATGCAAAGGATGAGTATAAAAATGAAAAAAAATCAGCTATGCCTTTATCAAATTTGAAGCATAGATTATGAAAATTATTTTGTATAATAAATCTAAGGTGATAGGTGATTCTGAGGAACACTTGAGGTATTTAGTCAACTTACAATATTTGAATTAAATGCTCATTTTCTCAACTGTTATATATTTCTGACCCTTTCGGGAGAGAGAAGGGCTAAGAAGTTGCCAGTGCCCACAATGTTTGTCTTATTTTTCCTACCCTTTACCACTAGAACGATCAACCCAGCACTCTGTCTTCTCACGTCTGTTGTAAAATCTTGCTCTTCCTGTGTCCTTAGCTGTATAATTTTACGTGTTCCCAGAAGGCAAGCCTTACTCTTCACAGATGAGCGATGCAAACTTCTTAACGTAGGTGTCTTTTGTTTTTTTCCAGCCAAGGAAACAAGGATGAACAGCTCACATATCCACGGCAGTTCCTGGACGTGTGGGAGACTCCCTCACCAAAAGAGCAATTAAAACAACAAACACACATAGTATCTGCACTTTGTACTTCAAATGTAAATTCACTTTGTAGAAACGAGATATTTAAACAGACCATTTTAATCTGTGAAAATGGAATGGCTGGTTTCAAAAAAAATTAATCACATACAATGTATGTGCCTTCCTTTGACCTTGGAAATCCGTACTTGGTGGGGATGTGCTTTGAATGCATTTACGCAGAATTTCTTTGTCCTGCCAATGTTAACATAGCGGAAGCCTTAGTGGAAGGCTTTGTGGTTCCAGTACTCTGCTGCCTTTCTTCCTAACTGGTACAGGCACGAATAGTCAAGCCAACAGCTTGCTTTATTTGAAATCTGCTGTCCTCGCAACCTTGCTGAATCCGGGCTGCAAGCTCCACGTTTGCGTGGAAGTGTGTAAAGTACTGCGCCGTGCAGTCCACAAGGGGCCGGGTTTACTTCTTGGGATTTGGTGTTGGTTTGCTTTCCGTAGCTTTTCGGAGGCCTTGCTGGCGCTAGGAGTTACGCAGCCTCTAACGGAATCCAGTCACTAAAGTAGTACTCTGGTAGAGAAGAGTGCTTTTCTAAGTTTTTCTGATGTGCCTGACTTTCCGTGGCAAGCTTCTCTTTGAATTGTGCCTTTAGCTTGGGTTAAACATGCAGTAAAAGACAGAACTGTTCTGCTGTCCGAAGGCAACAAGCAGGGGCCCCTCACTCAGAACAGTCAGTCTAATCACGGTGTGGTCAAGCCTCTAAGCCCGCTTGTCTCCCTGTCTGGCTTTACACCCAGCCACTGCCCACCTACCTGGGCCTGCCCACTGGCAGGTAGGATTATCACCTGAACAAATCATGAGCCGTCCCCTTAAAGAGGGCACTGTGCAGATAAGCTAGGCCATGGTGTTGGTCTCGGCAACCAAGGACAGGTTCTCTTAGGCATCCTGCGGCCGTCCCTTCTGAATGCCTTCAGGGTGTGGGGACTTGCTGAGGGCAGACTCACCAGATCGGACGTGTGCAAACAGCATCAGGGAGCGATGTCACACTAGGAACAACATGACTGGCAGTGTGGCCGAGCTGCCACACCCAGACCTGGACCCAGAGACCTGCTCTCTGAAGCTGTCTGCTACCTGGCATGCGGGTGTATGGGCTCCTTGCGGTACTCTCTCGGCTCAGACTTTCAATTGGAAAAAAATCTCCATGGCCCCAAAGCCCCCTGACACATGTCCTGTAAGATGATGTTTGTGAATATGCATGAAGATATTTTATGAGGCTTCTTCCTTATTTAAACCATGCAAAAGTACAAACTGAACCTTTGGAGCTACCAAAACAAAGCTCAATTGCATGTCAGCATTGTTTTAAGAAATAATGATGATCCTAAATTTATTTGATAATCTTTTATATTTCTAAACTTTGAATTTAATCATTTTTCTTAGATTAAAATACAATATGCTATCAACGCTGTATTTGGTCTTTTCTTTCCAGATACATATGGAGTTTTACAGGTGCCTCATTTTAAGGGTGTCCGCTGTGAGAAAAGCAAAGGCAGGGATGCTGGGGCCAGAAGGAGTTTGAATACTGCCTCTGCCGCTTACTGGCTGTGTGACTTGGGGCACGTTACTTAACCTTTCTGTGCTTTATTTCCTCCTCTGTAAAATAGGGATGGTGGTCGTGTGCAGCTCCTAGAGGGGGGAGTATATCAGTCACTATATGCACAACAGGGCCCTGGACACGACATGTGCTACGTGTTAGCCCCGATCACGTGAGAAAACCATTCACTCGTCTACTACAGTTGAGCACTACTGAGTTGGCAGATGCTTTGGGCAATAGAGAAGACACAAAGAGTATGCTTATTTCGATTGGCGCTAATACCATTCATAGAAGCCGCAGTGGCACAAAGGTTAAGCACTCCGCTGCTGACCGGAAGGTCCGCAGTTCAAACCTTCCTTGGGAGAAAAGACCTGGCGATCTGCTCCTGTAAGGATTACAGCCTAGGAAGCCCTACGTGGCCGTTCACTCTGTGCCACATGGGGTCACTATGAGTCGGAATCAACTCGAAGGCACCCAGTAACAGCAATACTGCTGTTCGCTGAGTCATGAACAAGAACCCTGAGCATGCCTCGTGTCTACGGCTGTACAGTCCACACCCACTGCCCCAGCCTGGGTTAGACACTCGTGTTCTGCTTGGACCATCACAGTAGCCTCCTAATAGGTCATCCTTCCTCTGGCGTTCCCCATCCCCTCCTGGGAAATCCCCTTCTCACCCTCCACTTTACCCAAAACCCAGCTCTCATCATATTTGT